ATAATTTTGCAAATATCTCTCGTTTCTTAAAATTTCTTCAAAATAAATGCTACAAGATATTGAATTACTTGTGAACTTTTATGTCATACACTCTTTCACTATGTTTCCCCCCTCTCCCCAATTTTTTTTTTCTATTCTGTAGGGTGTACAAGAGAGAATTAATCTTTCCGCACCTCTGTTACCTAAAGAAGATCCAGTCTTTACATATCTWTCTAAACGATTAGGACGGAGTATAGATGACATTGGCCACCTCATTCATGAAGGCTTACAGAAGGTAAGTAATAGTGACTCAAGAGTCAGGAGACTCTGTGACAATAGAAGAAATTTTTCTCTCAGAAAATAGCTGTCTTCTTGGATTGTCTAGAGGATGATTTTAAATTATGATTGCTATAAACCATGTATTTCAACAATAGGATAGATTGATTAGTTTTCCTTACCAGAAAGAGATACTAAAAAGTTTTATTTAAAAAAGGACTTTTATTTTTWAAAAAGTCTTATTTATTTAATTCATGAAAAAGCAAATTTTAAACTAATATAATTAATAGGGTTTATAGGCTAGATTATTTATATTGARTGTAGAAAAAAAATAACATTGTTATATCTACACACAGTATATAGATTATTACTGTTCTCTGACACAGAAAATGAATCATGACCAGCAATAAAATTTTCTGTAATTTTCTTTTAAGGGAACATCTACTTTTAAAAAAATGAAATAGGGAATTATGTAACAGGACCCAGGAATTTAAATGTACCATTCAGGATAACATGTGGGAATTTAGATAGCAGTTTTTGCTCTTCTCTATGCCAAAGGAATATCATAAAATGCAGGTTAGTTTCTAAGCAGTATTAATTATAATGATATTAAATAAAATATATMATTGTAACATTTATGTACAGCTTATTTAAATACACAGCACTGTGTATCAAGAAAAAGGGTGCATTTTTAATAGTGTGATTATGGGGAATTGAAGGGTAATCACATTTTTAAGGCTTTTTGTATACATGTCAGCTAGTCCCCCAGAAATGCTATAGTAATTTAACATTTCTATTCTTAACAGTGCTATGGAGTTAATATATAGAGTAACCAACAGTGAGTCCTGGCATTCTCTTTAATCTTTGCCAGCTTGTAAAAGGAAAYTTTTACATGTCTTTCTCTTGTTGAAGTTATGTAGTTTACATACTTATTAGCAATTTCATATTTTTTCTTTTTCTTTTCTTTTTTTTTTTTTTTTTAAAGAGAGAGTGAGAGAGGGAGAGAGAGAAAATTCTTAACATCTTTATTTTTTTTTTGGTTTTCAGTGGACACAACAGCTTGGTTGGTATGTGGTGCTGAGGATCAAACCCGGGCCGCACGCATGCCAGGCGAGCGCGCTACCGCTTGAGCCGCATCCCCAGCCCCCATATTTTTTCTTTATCTGTTTATATTTTTCTTTATGTTTTATTTTAGATTTTTTGTGAGCTCTTTGTATATTAAAGGTATTAAACTTTGTTGTCATATGTATTGCAAATGTTTTTCACAGTTTATCTTAAATTTTGCTGATTTTTTTTTCCACAGAAGAAACTTAAAACTTATAAACTTACACAGAGCTTTTGATATGATCCAGTTTATTTTTAATGTTTTTTTTTTGTTTGTAGATGGACACAATACTTTTACTTTATTCATTTTTATGTGGTGCTGAGGATCAAACCCAGTGCTTCACATGAGCAAGTCAAGCGCTCTACCACTGAGCTACAACCCAGCCCCATGATCCAGTTTTTGACATGATAATGTTTTGACCTTTTTGTGGCTAAAATTCAGAATGTGTTTGAGGATGAAAAATCCCAGCCACAAAAGGAAAAGCCTATYTGAACTTCAGTTTAACTTGACTAATTAATATATTTAATCATAGACAAAAGATTTAATTTTTAACAGCTTGAAGGTTTGAATTGTATTCTAAATACACATAAGAAAGTAAAAAAAGAGAATTCATCTTCATGAAAGCATAAGCCTATTTGCTGTAGTTTGTACTTCYACTCAGATTTTACATCAATATAAAACTTTGTAACATGTTAATTTTAGACATTTCAAGTTAAAGCAATTTCCAAGTTGCTTAGAAATTTCTAAACAAGTGAATTTCTAAACTTCTGAAGTAGGGCCAGACAAGTTGTGGCCACTCAGTGGATTTTCCAGTGTTATTTCTCCTCTAGGATGATGGCCTGGTGTTGGATGATCTCTGTATGAAAATCATACTTCTGTGCACTTGCAAGCTGATGATTAGAAGGCCCTTTGGACAGGAGTAGTTTTTTTTTTTTTTTTGTACCTGTCCTCTGCTTTGTTGTTACTATAACTAATCTTGCTCTTCATCTTGAATTTCAGAAGAACCAAAGTGTCAATCGTGCTCATTCTGAACATTTGTAATTCAAGAAACTGTCTTGAGTTTTATGTGATTGYAGTTTTTATTTGTTATCTCTAGAATTCTTCCTCGTGGGTACTCTATAACATGGCTTCATTTTACTGGAGAATAAAAAATGAACCATATCAGGTAGTGGAATGTGCCATGCGAGCACTTCATTTCTCTTCCAGGTAAGAGTGCTTTTTTCTGGACTTCCTGATTCTCCACATAAATCAGGACTGTTAAAGAAATAATACATAAGATAACAAGAAGCAGCATCATATTATACTATGCCCAYTTGTTCCTGTTCAAAGAAATTAGACTCCACACAAAAAATCACAGATGTCAAAAAGTTCAAAGTGATAATTATGTAATACACTTTTYATGTCCATTAAGGAAAAAAAATATATAATGTAGAAGTCCAGTGGTTCATTTGAGACATGAATGCCAGGACTGTGACTAGAGGAATTTTAATAAATTAAACTTAACTTTTCTTAAAGCAAATATAAGCCCTAAAGATGCTTTAAAATCATAAAATGTCTGTCAACTCTTATTTTGGGTGCCTAATTTGTAGCTGTTAGATTAAGTAAGCAAACCATCAAAAATTTTTAAATGAAGCATTATGATTATTTTCTCCACGTATTAGCATGCTTAAAGTGATATTTGGAGCCTAGTGACTTCAAGTGTCATTTTTCCTTGTCAAATAGTAATGCATAATCATGGAACACATGTTTCTTTCCTAACATCTAGCAACGTTTCTTCTCTTTTAGACAAAATAAAGACATTGCCCTGGTCAATTTGGCAAACGTTCTGCACAGAGCACACTTCTCTGCTGATGCTGCTGTGGTGGTCCATGCAGCTCTGGATGACAGTGACTTCTTCACCAGCTATTACACGTTGGGGAATATATAYGCAGTAAATACTACTTTTGTTTCATGTGCCATACCTTTTGCTTTTTTTTTTCCCCCCTCTCATAGTAGAATTTTTTTTCCCCTTCCACTTTCAGTCTAAACAATGGAAATGAAGACATTAGGGGGAAGGAAAAATCTTARTGCTGTATCAAGTACTAGCTTCTTGAAGGAAAAGAAATATAATTAAATTGATTAGAATTTTAAATTGTGCAGGCTGCACCTTTTACAGATAGCAATACCTTCCAACTACAGTATACACCTTCATACTGTGGGGATTTGATCATTGATCAAAACAATGTTCATTGTAGAGTGAAATGTAGGTTTGATTTCATAAACAATTAGGACATTTGAACAGGTACAACCAGGCCATGGCTAACATTTCTTCCCCCTGTGTGTGTATATATGTGTATGTTTTTATTTTTGTCTCTTCAGATGCTTGGAGAATATAACCACTCAGTGCTGTGTTATGACCATGCTTTGCAGGCCAAACCTGGGTTTGAGCAAGCTATAAAGAGGAAGCATGCTGTTCTATGTCAGCAAAAACTTGAACAGAAATTGGAGGCTCAACATAGGTAATTGGGAGAAAAAATTTTACTGAAGTACTAGCACCATAGACCCTTAGGTTAGATTGTGTTGGGTAATATCACTATTAACTTGGTCATGAGAATTAAAAAATTACCTCTTCACTGAAAGTCTGCCCCTTGACTCCAAATCCAGTGATTTTACATAATTGATTCCAGAAAATAGAGAATGTTTTCAGTGAAGCTGTCATATAAATCTTTATAGTTTTGACCATGGTAGGATTACTGTTATGAACCTAGATGGGAGTGGGGAAGTTGGGGGATAGTCAGTAATGTCAYTGTTATTTTTATGGAGTATACAATGTCAGTAAAATCACTTGTATGTGAAATATTTGATCTTTCTCCCCTTTGGCTCCAAGGGTTGGACTGTTGTTATGTTAGTTGAGAAACATTATTTGGCCCACATTTTAATAAGATTTGTGAGTTAAGTCATACAGCAATGGAATTGTTTTGTATTTGGTCTTTTCAGTATACTTATTAAAATATATGTTTGATTCCATAAATAACAAGACCAGTTGAGAAGCTTCACATAACCCAGAAGTGAATTGTTTATTTCTCAGATATATTAACCTTATGGCCTTTGAGTCTTACTTTGGTTATTAGAGAATTAAATGGAAACTTAGAACTTTTGTATTTGCTTATTTTCCAGTCTACTTAAAACATAATGTAGTGAAAAGGGAAGAATGATAGCTTGCTTATTTGTAACAGACTTCCATTACACCTGTTCAGAACTTGCCCTGGCTGTTTCTGCCAGTAATATGCTCTTAATTATTATATTGMCTCTCTTCCACAATCTTTAGAGCTCCTAAAATCTCCATATGTTGCAGTGTGATAGGTAATAATAAGGTTTGGGTGACTAAATGTTACCAGGCAGTTGACTTAGTGAAATCAGGTAGTGAAGCAAAGTTTTCTTTGCCCACCCCCCATAAACTCTGTGAACCAAGGAGCTAGAGTGTGAGAGCAGGATAGTATGGCCCTGAATCTTACCTGACTTTAGGCAGAATGAAAAGAAAAAGGGAAGAGGAGAAGAGGACTCTGGAAAAGGCTTTGAATGTCAGTGGAACCAATGAAAGTTTTGTGGAGGGAAATATAGTTATTAAATATGTAAAAAGATGTATGTCATATTAAATATGTGTAGTATATTTTGATCTGTTTTATGGTGTTTAAATTTTATCTTTTTTGAACCATATACATTATTTAAATTATTTAGTTATTTTGTGGTGCTGRGAATCAAATCCAGGGCCTTGCACTTGCCAGGCAAGCAKTATACCAAAGAGCTGCATCCCCAGGCCTAAATTTTAGCCAGTATATAAAAATTATACATATTTATGGGTRTGTGGTCCCCAAGTTCTAATATGAGAATAACATTTATTTAGCCCTGTGAAGTTTTAATACATGTATGCATTCTGTAATGTTTTAAAATCAACATAAACATCTATATCTCTGCTGTAAAGACACAGTAAACATTTATGGAGATAATTGTTTCTTAGCTTAGACAGCTGGGTGGATGGCAGTGCTACTTTGCTACAGAAAAAGGGAACATCAGAGGAAGATGCAGGTTTTAGAGAAAGTTTGGTTTGGGAAGGATCTGCAGTGGGCTCACACCAGCTGTTCTCTAGCCTGGTCTCCCTGAGGATCTGTGTCCTTGGCCAGGCACCATGAACAAGACAGTGTGATTTTCTTTTATTGTATGGTGTTGGCGATCAAACACCGGGCCTCATGAATGCTAGACAAGCAGTCTTTCACTAATCCACATCCCCAGCCCATGTAATGCGTTCTTTATGGCWTCTTCAAAGTCCAGTAAACCATTCAATGTTATGGTGGCTGTTTTTAAGGGAAAAATATTGCACTCATGTTTTTGTCCCAAAGTTCTAATAAAAGAATAGCATTTATTTCRCCCTGTTATTCTTGAAATTGTGGTACAGGTTTAACATTAAATGCAAGGAAAAAAACTAGCAATTATTGCTGAGAACCAGAAAATATATGCATTTAAGTAAGTTTTTGAAATTTATTTTTTAATTTTTTTTAAAATGATATTAAATGTTATTTAAAAATGTTAAGATCCCTCCAGCGAACACTTAATGAGTTAAAAGAGTATCAGAAGCAGCATGACCACTACTTGAGACAGCAGGAAATCCTAGAAAAACACAAGCTGATTCAAGAAGAGCAAATCTTAAGAAATATCATCCATGAGACTCAGATGGCAAAAGAGGCACAGTTAGGTAAGTACAAGGCAGGTTGGGCAATTCTTTTTTTTTTTTTTTTTTTTTAATAGTTGAACCCAGGGACACTTAACCACTGAGCCACATCCCTAGCCTCTTTTTTTTGAATTTTATTTGCAGACAGGGTCTCTCTGAGTTGCTAAGGCTGGCTTTCACCTCAAGATCCTCCTGCTTCAGCTTCCCAAACTGCTGTGATTATAGGTGTGCAGCACTATGCCCAGCCAGGAAATTCATTTCTAGAAGACTACATTGTAGTTTCTGTRCAGCCTTAAAACAGTATAGAGCTGACTTTCCTAGATCTCCTCTGTGGCTAATACTGGCAGAAAGGCTAACTTTTTTTTTTCCTATTGCTCCCTTAAAAACAAACATTATTTTAGAAATAAGATTTTAGACTAGAATTTGTTTCAGGCAGGATTTTGTTCCCCCTCATTTTGAGACARGGTCTCACTGAATTGCTCAGGGCTTCACTAATCGTTGAGGCTGCCCTCAAACTTGTGATTATCTGCCTCAGTCTCCCAGCTTGGATTACAGGTATGCACCTCCACACCTAGCTTCAGGCAGGATTTCTTAACCTGGGTGAATGGATTAGATTGAGTGGGGTCTGAAATCATCTCCAAAATCACATGTAGAATTGTTTATGTGTATAATTGGGGGAGAAGATGGTATATAGATTTTATTAAACTCTCTTAAAGACTTTTTAATCCAAAAAAATATATAGAACCACTGATTGTCTAGGAGAACTTGGGTTGGTGGGAGAACACTGATTTCTTTTATATCCAAAATGTTTTTGTCTTATTAAATCCCAAGGGAGTAGATCTGACAACTGGACACCAGAGAATAAATTAATAGAATACCTTAAATTCCATCCTCCTAYCTTGATTAATGCATTGGTCTGGAAAGTTTTTAACCTTTGAACCTTATCTGYGACCACTTTTAGAGCATTTTACAACCCACCTAACAGGTTTTCTCTGCTATTTTGAGTGTAAAGMATATGATAGTCTTTAAGATTATTTACTGCTCAGTATATACTCAAAGGCAACCAGTGCTTTTATATATAAATTTGAAACTAAATCAGGAGGTATATAAGCTAAATTCTCTCCAGAGAGATGGCCAAAGTTTCTTGAAACTATGTAATCAATRGATTTTACAATTATATTTTCTGGAAATTATTTTTTATATCAGTTATGATATAGAGGAACCCCCTTATTTTATATGTGGAGAAACTGGGRCTTCTGTAGAATGCATTAATGAACTGTTAATGAATATTTCTCTATATAAGTACTCCAAGTAAGTAAGTACTCTAGTAGGTTCTGAGGAACACAGAGTTGAAACTAAATGACTTGGACCAAGACMAAGATGTTGGCATTGCTGACCATGCTCGTCATTTATGTAACTTCTCATTTATGTAACTTCTCTCTTATTCCAGGAAATCATCAGATATGCCGTCTAGTCAACCAGCAGCACAGTTTACATTGCCAGTGGGACCAACCYGTACGCTACCATCGAGGAGATATCTTTGAAAATGTGGACTATGTTCAGGTCTTTTTCTTGGTCTCTTCTAATTCTTACTAACTTTTGCATGTCTGAGAATAATATTATTTTCCTCCCTTAGTTTCTTGTACATGTGATCCCTAAAATTTGTGCTTGTCATTTAAATCTTTAAGGTTTTGAGTGTCTCTGTGTTTAATGAAGTCAGATTTTGTTCTTAGTACTCAGTTACTCCATGGATGACATTCTGTTTCCCAGAATACAGTCTGTATATATATATATATATATGTGTAGGTATTTTATTCTTTTCTCCTTTACCATGGGACCTAGAATTGGGTAGTTATTACGATTTAACTTGAAGCTTTTGTCTCCCCTCTTAACCTTAAGAGTAAGACATACTTAAGAGTAAGACCATACCCTTTGCCAAAATCATCAGTCCAGTTAGGTTGCCTAGACCAAAAACATCAATAGAACAGTCATTATCAACAGAAGGATTTATTCAGCACCATGGCTAAGTATGTGCTTTCTCTCATCTTTATGTCTCTGTGTACACACACACACACACACACACACACACACACACACAAATACACATACATGTACGTAAACACACATAGCCACACCATCCTAGTCTGTCTAATTAAGAAGAAATAATACATAGATGTAATGGTACTAAATAGTATATAACTGTTGCTGTGTGACATAGGAAGTAAGTATATCCAGAATGCCAGGTACCATTAAAAAAGAATATTGGAAATAAAACAACACTTTAATCCTAGATAAAATGCATCATGTCCTAATCATAGATTAGAAATTTCTAGAGATAAGCAGTTAAAATAAGTCAGGAAAGCAARTCACACACAAAAAAAAGCCCTTTAATCTTAAAAAATTCAGATAACATTATAAAGAGTAAGAAGCAAAAATTAATTGGGCATTTAAGTGGGAAATAGTAACATAAACCAAAAGCTTCATAAGAGTTTTATAAACCACTTCCTAGCAATATCCCATGTTTGGTTTTCAAGAAAAGGTTAAGAAAAGCCAGATTTATAYTCTCTGGGATTCTAGCTCCCTGTCTTAAATCCAGGCATTTAAAAGGAATATTTAGAATGAAATTGATTGAAACCCAGTGTAACTTTTGGATATCTTGATGTTCTTAAGAGTGCATTGCATCAGTGTAGCTTCCAACATTCTATTTTCATATAATCATATCACTACTATATAATAGAAGAATTTATTTCAAAAATAAAGACTAAGGACTAGAGTAGTAATCATTTTAGTCTCTGCAGGGGACAGGAATAATGAACCAGATTTCTAAATTAGTTGATCATTAATTTTAAAAGACTAAAGCATAAAAAGGAAGCAAAGGGAGGGACAGGAAAACAATCATACTATCTTTCTGATATTTCAACAGCACAGTTGATTGAAAGTTGTTAATTGTGTTATCCTWGAGAGAATACTATTGGGGTAGTTCTTAAAATTAAAAGACCTGATTGCTTTACTGCTGACCTACTTTCTGATGTCCTAGTTGTGAATATCTACTAGATTCCTCAGTATGAGTTAAATCTTGGTCATAATTCTCTTTCCACTCACAATTGGATTGACTTTTCTTTTCATTTTCTAGTTTGGTGAGGATTCATCAACCTCTAGTATGATGTCTGTGAACTTTGATGTTCCAGCAAATCAGAGTGATATCAGAGATTTGGTCAAGTCTTCTCCTGTAGCCCATTCTATTCTATGGATCTGGGGTCGGGACTCGGATGCCTATAGGGTAAGTTAATAGAGGATAATAACAGGTTTTCTCCTACAGACAGTAGTGGCCCTCAACCTCAGTGATTAATATGATCCATATCACTATTTGGATTAGTGCAGCAAACATTTATTAAACTTCTATGAGTTTATAGAASTTTAATGGAAGGCAATCTGCTAGGTAGTAGGTAAGGAAGATACAGGCTCAGCCTCAAGGTCTTCCCAATAAAGTTGTTATAAACTTCATATATTTAATCAGCATTCTTTTATTGAATTCCCAGCTGTATGCCAGGCTAGTACTAGGAACATAGTAGACAAGCTCCTTGTCTTATATTCTATTGAGAAATACATGTAATAAACAATTTGATAATTGGGGTTGTGGCTCAGTGGTAGAGTACTCACCTAGCACATGCGAGGCCCTGGGTTCAATCCTCAGCACCACATAAAAATAAATAAAGGATAAAAAACATATATGTATTTATTTGTAAGCTAGCTCTGAATAGTTGTATGTCAGTTGATTGCGATACCAAGATAYAAGGATGGAGACCATGTTGTTTTTATTCACTATTAAATTTTCAGAATTTAATTGAGTATTATAACAGTACAATAAATTAGGTTTAATTATATATATTACAAACTTCTCAAAGCTTGTTAGCTTCAGGATATAAGTTTTGTAGGATTCTGGTATAATTGTTTATATWTAGAAAAATGAACATATTTAACAAGTCAAAAAAGAATTATTAAAGTTTGGCATTGGCAAAGAAAAATAGCTTTCTAAGCCAATTTTATAGGCATATGTRTGTTTTCAGGTACTGTACCTCATATTGACTTAAAAAGAAAACTTGCCTATTATTTCAGGAAGTCCATAGATAGGAAACTTCAGGTTTGGTGGCCCAGTGATGTCACCAGTGGCTCATTCCTTTCCACTCTTTCATTCTTCAATGTACAGTATTGTTTTCATCCCAAAACTTATTTTCCTCATGGTCATAAGATGACAGCCAACAGCAACTGGAACCACACGCTTTTTTGTTTACATGTAACGTAAAAAACTAAGACTTGTTTTTCTTTCCCAGAGACCCCAAGCAAACTTCTCCTGTGACATGTTGGCTCAACTGGTTTAGGCCTGCCCAACCCTGAACCAGTGTGTGGTGAAGTAGGTGGAATGACTGGTTTAGACTAATAAACCACAGTAGAAGGAACATTATAGAATCTACCACTGTATAGTTGTCTTAACATATTACATTTCTGTTCAGTTATCCTGTTATACCTAAATTCCTCTAATAGTTCACTTTGTATGTTGAAATATTGACTCCAAAGAAATTTATGAGAAGCTTTGTTTATTTCTTAGGACAAGCAGCATATCCTGTGGCCCAAAAGAACAGATTGTACAGAAAGCTACCCTAGAGTCCCTGTTGGTGGGGAATTGCCAACATATTTTCTGCCTCCAGAGAACAAAGGACTCAGGCAAGTGCTGATGGATTTGGCAAAGCACCTGATTCTGCATGATTGTCATCTGGCGGTTCTTTGAGAGCACCGGCCTTGGACTTGAAAGGTTAAGTCTTTATCTTGAACTCAACCAAACTTTGAAAATGTGAATCTTGTTCCTTTTTCTTGTGCCAGGATCCACGAACTCAACAGTGATGATTATTCTTCAGAAGAAGAGGCCCAAACCCCTGACTGTTCCATAACTGACTTCAGAAAAAGCCACACTCTGTCCTACTTAGTCAAAGAATTAGAGGTCCGCATGGATCTGAAAGCCAAAATACCAGATGACCATGCACGAAAAGTAAGGCTCACTTAGGCTGGTGTTTATTGCCGTCCATTCTGGGTAACTTCAGAAGCCTCTTAGATGGAACAAAAATTTGAGAGAAGGCAGTGGTTGAGGTTTAAGTTTATAAAACGGAAGGATAAAGTTAGAGAATTAAGGAAATGACTGAGAAGTCAGTCTTAAAGAAAGGTTCCTTGGGGTTGTTGTTTCATAGACCACCTAAGCTCTCTTTATCCTCTAACCCAGAGGGTTCCAAAGTTGAACAACACAGAACTTGCATCTTACCCAGTGGAGGCCATTCTGATCACTTCAGTTTAGCTTTGGGTCCTCAAACCTACAGAAGTTTATATAAATTGAAAGCTTGAAGGTTCTGTTTCMCTGATCTTATTATCAACTCTTCTTCAGCCCTATATGAGGTTCTTAGGAATCTGTATCAACTTAATAACTACTCTGCAAAATCATGAATAAGTTCATTCTGTTTTCTTTAATTTCTAACAGTTATATATATGACTAGGAATGTTTATAACCACTCTGCAAAATCATGAATAAGTTCATTCTGTTTTCTTTAATTCCTAATAGTTACATATGACGAGGAATGTTTTATTACTGAATGTGGATTACTATATTAGATACCATTCCATAGATATAATTGAAATAATTACCTTTTTAATAGAAAAAACAAACTATTACCTCTACCTTTTGAAAAAGCTTAACTTCAAAACTATAAGCAGTTACTACTTAAATTCAGCAAACATTTATTGAGGCAAAAAATACCATTTGCGTGGTACTATTTTGGGTGTTTGAATGCAAAGTTAAGTAGACTATGATCTTTGGCTTTAGAGTTCCTCAGAGTTACACCAGTACTACAAGAACATAGATTAACTGGGGATCTGGTGCTTTCCAACCAGAGAAGATAGCAKATTTTTATCACATCAGATGTTGCCTGTTAACTTCTGAATAATTTCTCATTGGGTTCTAGATGCTCAGGTTGACTTTAATGGGATATGGTAATTGCCATGTGATTAAGGGTGTGTGTGTGTGTAAAAAAAATAATAACTTTTTTAAGTTAAAGGAAATTAGTACATACATGTGAGCAGGTCAGCAACTGTTCTTGTATCAATGACTTCATGTTTTATATATGAGTATAAATATCTGTTCAAAGTAGTTGCTCCCTGGGACCTCAAATAAAAATTGCCAGGCATAGAAATTCTTTTCAAATGTCTTCCTGTTATTTTCAATTGAGTCAGTCTTTCTTTTGAATTTTTCAGATATTGCTTTCCCGTATTAATAACTATACTATCCCAGAAGAAGAAATTGGGTCTTTCTTATTTCATGCTATTAATAAGGTGAGTCATTTAATTTGAATGCTTAGTAATTGTAGTTAAAAGTTAAAATGTACTTATAAAAGATCCAATTTGGAACATCTACCGTATTTATGCACTAAATGAAGTATTCTGGTGTTTTCAGCCAAATGCTCCCGTCTGGCTCATACTCAATGAAGCTGGACTCTACTGGAGAGCAGTAGGAAATAGCACTTTTGCTATTGCCTGTCTCCAGAGGGCTTTGAATTTAGCTCCGATTCAGTACCAGGACATTCCTCTTGTCAACTTAGCCAACCTTTTGATTCACTATGGACTTCATCTTGATGCTACTAAGCTGCTACTTCAAGCTTTGGCCATCAATAGCTCTGAGGTAAGGTTTTTTTACTTAATTTATTTGTAGCTCCATATGCTATGTAGGATAATTCAGTTTTAGAGTACAATTTGTGTTTTTCTAGGAAAGGCATAAAAATTTCATATTTTGTTTTTCAGTGTAAAATTTTACATATTTCAAGAGATATAAAGTATTTTTGTTTTATTAATTTTTGTTTTAAATTTTACATGAGTGAAATTTTTAGAAACTTATATTTAAATAAGAATGATATCTATAGAAATATATTGCCATTTTTTTATGTCAGTCTGAAAACACCTGTTCTTATGTTATCCTACTCGTCACAGTTTATACTATTTTAAAGCTTTAATTTGTGTATATACTTATACCATCCAAACCAGAGCACCGTTTAAAGGTTATTTTGACAAGAATAAATAGGAAGATTAGTATTCATGTCCTGAGCCTCCCACATGAAGTCAGTTCATGGTGCTTTTTGTTATTTACTCAACAGTTCCTAGTTTACAGTAGACCACTTTTCTTTTGCTTGTTTGGCTGTTATGTATACCTAATTAAAATAAATCAATTAATTTTAAAAAAGTATATTCCAAAACTAATATTTTTTAAGTTTGAGAAAAAAATAATTCCTAATAAATGTTTTCTTGAGTTACACAAATTTACAACTGGACTTTAAACAAAAGTTACAATCTCTGTATACAAATTTATTGCTGGACTTTAAGCAGAAGTTCACAATCTCCATACTATAAAGCCAGTAAAGTTGCCAATTTGTACATGTAGTATTTTATCAAATGCTTAACAGGTGCCGATACTGACGTTATAGGTATRCATGTGGTGTGAGATGTGAAGAAATAGGCATTCAGATGGAAAGCTCAGCACAGCCATGTGCCCATGATCCTCCTTCTGCTTCACTTTCTATTGCTGCCAGCTGAAGCAGCAAGGCAATTTTGGTTTTTTTGTTTTTGTTTGGTTTGTTTTAAGAGAAAGGAGCTTTCTTAGAGCTTAGTTAGCTTTCTATATTTAAAATAACATTAACATTTTAGTTATTAAATGCTGTAGTACTGCAAAAAGACTAAAAAGATAAATCAGTGGATTGGTGGGCACACCAAAAATATACCTTAACCAGCACCCCTCCCCAGCTGTCGGCATTTATAAACACTGACTTGTAAGCCTGTCTGCTGTGCACATATTCCACAGTATTGCAACTTTATGGTACAGGTGAACTTTAAGGCCTATTATGTTTAAGTATTTATTGCTACATAGTTTTGACATTAAAAAATGGTAGTATATTTCTATAGATATCATTCTTATTTAAATATAAGTTTCTAGAAGTTTCTTATAAATATAAATTTCTAAAAATTTCACTCATTTAAAATTTAAAACACAAATTAATAAAACAAAAATACTTATGTCTCTTGAAATATATAAAATTTTACACTGAAAAAAAAAATGTCTTGTTAGTTTTCATGAATGGAGTTGATGCAGCTTATTCCTTAGGCTGCTGACAGTACTTGGCTATTATCAGCAATGGTTTCCTACAAAAGGTGTTTTCTGTATTGTAGCAAAGATTGCTAGCATTGGAACTACTAAGTCACTAAGAATGAATATTTTTATAGTTATGGTACAAAATGCCCAATAGTGCACCAAAAAAWTGGGGCAAATAAAATGTTGTCATGATTAAGAATTTTTACCTATTTATCCTCACCTGWATTGGACAGTTGAAATAGCTGCTAACTTTTCTTGACTCTTTACTAGAGCTACATACCATACTAARCAAGAGCTCATTTAGCCATCACAACAATCAAGATAGGATTTTCCCCTTTGATAGATAAGGAAACTATAAGAGTTAAATATACAGAAAAATAATGAGATTTACCAAAAGTCAGAGAGCTTGAATTTGAACTCAGAGAGATTGGCCACAGAACTCACAGTTGTTGTTAGTGATATTACACTGCCTCTGGGTTAACATTTAGAAAGCAAGTTTACTTGTTTCAAAATGTCACTCCTCTGTTGTAACATAAAATTTTTATATTTTTAAAGTAAAAGATTGTGTAGACATTTTGCTCATTTTGTTAGAATTTGGTTTTTTTTTAAATTTGTGTGAATTGCACAACAAAGTCTAATTCCATCTGTTACATGTTAAATATGTTCTCTTTGCCTTTTTAATCTTAGCTCTTAAAAATTACCCTTAAACTTGTCAGTCTCCTCAATTTTTATTTCTATTGTTAGATGTAAAGTGTTCGCACAAGAAATTGGAAAAAAATAGTTCTATTGTTTTTGTTTTCTATTACTTGATCCATATTTACTAACTAAATATATGCCAACCTTATGGCGACTACTAACTCTTGTATACTCAAAAGAGAATGAGTATTAATATTGATTATTAAAAGACATTTACACAAATATTCATAGTAGTTTTATTCATATTGGCCAGAAGCTGGAAAGTGCCTAAATGCCTGTCAGCAAAATGGATGAATAACTATGGTATATTCATACACTGGGACATTATACATCAATTGCAAAATATCAAAAAAGAATGAACTACTGATACACAAACATGAATCAGTTTTAGACTAAAAGAAGCTACAAAAGGATACATGTTATATATACATATAAGAGAATATGCTCTTTGTTCCATTTATGAGATTAAGAATAGCTGAAGGGCTGGGATTGCAGTTCAGTGCTAGGATGCTTGCCTACAACATGTGAGGCATTGGGTTCAATCCTCAGCACCACATTAAAAAAAAAATGGATAAAGTCATAAAAAAGAACAGCTAAAGTCACCAGGAATAGTGGCACACACATTCAGCTATTTAGGAAGCTGAGACAGGAGGATCACAAGTTCAAAGCCAGCCTCAACAACCTAGCAAGGCCCTAAGCAAATTAGTGAGACCCTGGGATGTGRTTCAGTGGGTTCAATCCTCAGTACCCCCCTGGCCCGAAAAAATAAAAAGAACAGATGAAGTCAATTTATGGTGATAGCAGTCACACACCAGCAGTGGTTACTTTTGGACTAGGGTTGACTTGCCCACGGAACCCTTTGGGATCTAGAAACATTCTAAATGTTTTATATCTTAAGCTGAGTGGCTGGGATAGGGATATATTAATATATTAAAAATCTATTTGAGATGTACACTGAAGATTTACCATATATTACATACTTTAGAAAAAAGTCAAAAATACATTGTATATGTTACAAAGTTTAGAATTGGCTGATGTGAATAAAATGGCCATTAGCAACAACCTTTATCGGGTAGCCTAAGGAAAGCCAAAAGACTATTATGAAGGATTTGTAACTCTTACAAAATATTAATTCATTAATGCCTTGCTGATTTTTTATTTCCAGCCCCTGACCTTCTTGAGCCTTGGAAATGCTTACCTTGCTCTGAAGAATATCAGTGGGGCACTTGAAGCCTTTAGACAGGCCTTGAAATTAACTACCAAATGTCCAGAGTGTGAAAACAGCCTGAAGCTGATCCGCTGTATGCAGTTTTATCCTTTTCTGTACAACATCTCCTCTTCTGTTTGCAGTGGTAAGCATGTTAAATTCTAGCTAAATCATGAGTTTAGCTGGAGTTCCTATTCTGATCAACAAAACACAAAATGATTTTCTCACATTTTCCGAAGGATTTCAGATAACTGGCATAATTCTAGATACATAGGAAAGAGTTAATTCATTACTTACTATAGATGTCTTAAAGTATTAAGGCTTAATTATTTCCCAGAATTCTGATTAAGAAAGGTTGAATAGCCAGGCACAGTGGCACATGTGAATGATCCCAGTGACTGGAGGCTGAGGTGGAAGGATCACAAGTTCAAAGCCAGCCTGGGCAACTTAATGAGACCCTGTCTCAAAAAGAAAAATTTAAAAGGTCTGGGGGTGTAGTTCAGTGATAGAATACCACTAAGTTCAATCCCCAGTACTGCAAAATAATAATAATAATGATAGACTGAATAAAGTATTAATACATATATTTAGCTGGGAATGATAAGCTATGTGTTTTTCCTCTAAAAATCTCTCTTAAAATAATGACCAGTGTTCATGGTACAGGGTAGTTTTTCTGTTCATGTAGTCCAAGTGTGTAATGARAGTTGAAGTAGTTCTTCTACATACATAGTCATGAGTCTGAATCACCTTTTCTGAAAGGTGATTCAGACCTTTACTGAACCTTTCCAATATTCACCTGGTATTAATTGATATGCCTTTCCCTTCTTCCACTCTCTCCCACAGCCAGGGGTACTTATGCACATGCCTAAGTATATTATTTTATAGAGCCAATAGCTATACCAGTTATTTATCAATTAAAACCTTTGTTCTAAAAGTTACATGATATTTGGTTATTTACTTTTTAACCTTCACTGTAAGAATAAAATTCATGAATTTGACTCTCTGCCTTGAATTATGATAGGTGCAATTTACATATATGTAGATGCATAGTACCTACCCATTGGCAGGTAGACTAATCAGTGGGTGCTTCATTAACATTCAAATTAGATTTTAGTATCTGAGCAGAGGGCTGTCATTCCAGTTCCTTCAATTTGGAAATTCAAAACAAAACAAAACAAACAAACAAACAAAAAAAAAACCTGACACCTACCTGTTTATGTGACTTGTCTAAAAGACACTGATAATTACTAGTAAATTTAAAACCAGAAACTGGTTTGCCTGATTTGCATACCAGACTGAATTAGTATCTTAATGAAATGAGAGACCATAAATAGTACTTTTATTTTTAAATATCAGACCAGTTATTTAGTAAAGAAACCAAAATTCCTTCAGCAACATAATGCCATAGCTCAGTTGTGAATCACTGATAAGCACAATCTGAATTCCAGTTCTTATATGAATACTGAAGGCCTAAGGCAGCAAGGCACTGTTGCAGAGCGGATAGCGCTGGAATCATACAGATCCGTGTCTGAGGCCTGCTTGGCTGTAACTTTCTGATCCCTGTAATTTGTATCCGTATTTGTACTATGAAAAACCAAAATAAACCTATATCATATACTTGCCAGGAGGATTAAACAAGATCTTTTTCATACAATAGATATTGGAATAATGTAAGCTATTAGAAATTCATGTGAATACAAAGTATTCAGAACTTTAAAATTATGGGTCTTTATCTTCTTTCTTAATCCTAGAAAATACATTGTGGTCTTTAAAAAGTTATAGATTACCAGGGCTGGGGTTGTGGCTCAGTGGTAGAGTGTTTGCCTAGCATGTGTGAGGCATTGGGTTCGATTCTCAACACCACATATAAATAAATAAAGTAAAGGTCCATTGACAATTAAAAGATAAATTTTTTTTAAAAAAGTTGTAGATTACCTAAGATAGCCTTATAAACAGGATTTCACTTTTTCTTTTTTTAAATTTTTTTATTCTAATTTGTTTGCAGAATACATTACAATTCATATTACACATATAGAACACAATTTTTCATATCTCTGGTTGTACACAAAGTAGAGTCACATCATTCGTGTCTTCATACATATATTTAAGGTAATGATGTCCATCTCATTCCACCATCTTTCCTACCCCCAGACCCCCTCCCTTCTCCTCCCCTTTGCTCTATCTAGAGTTCATCTAATCCTCCCATGCTCCCCCTCCCAACCCCATTATGAATCAACATCCTTATATCATCAAAATATCATCATTTGTTTTTTTGGGGATTGGCTAACTTCACTTAACATTATATTCTCCAACTCCATCCATTTACCTGCAAATGCCATGATCTTATTCTCTCTTAATGCTGAATAGTATTCCATTGAGTATATATACCACATTTTCATTATCCATTCATTGACTGAAGGGCATCTAGGTTGGTTCCACAGTTTAGCCATTGTGAATTGTGCTGCTATAGACATTGATGTGGCTATGTCCCTGTAGTATACTGTTTTGAAGTCCTTTGGGTATATACCAAGGAGTGGGATAGCTGGGTCAAATGGTAGTTCCGTTCCCAGTTTTCCAAGGAATCTCCATACTGCTTTCCATATTGGCTGCACCAATTTGCAGTCCCACCAGCATTGTATAAGTATGCCTTTTTCCCCACATCCTCACCAACACTTATTGTTGTTTGTATTATTAATAGCTGCCATTCTGACTGGAGTGAGATGAAATCTTAGAATAGTTTTGATTTGCATTTCTCTAATTGCTAGAGATGTTGAACATTTTTTCATATATTTGCTGATTGATTGTATATCATCTTCTAAGAAGTGTCTGTTCAGGTCTTTGGCCCATTTATTGATTGGGTTATTTGTTTTTTTGGTATTAAGATTTTTAAGTTCTTTATATATCTTAGGGATTATTGCTCTATCTGACATGTATGTGGTAAAAATTTACTCCCAAGATGTAGGCTCTCTATTCACCTCGCTGATTGTTTCTTTTGCTGAGAAGAAGCTTTTTAGTTTGAATTCATCCCATTTATTGATTGTTGATTTTAATTCTTATGCTAGAGGAAGTCTTATTAAGGAAGTCAGGGCCTTATCCAACATGATGGAGATTAGGGCCTCCTTTTTCTTCTATTAGAAGCAGGGTCTCTGGTTTAATTCCTAGATCCTTGATCCAGTTTGAGTTGAGTTTTGTGCATGGTGACAAATAGGGGTTTAATTTCATTTTGTTGCATATGGATTTCCAGTTTTTCCAGCACCATTTTTTGAAGAGGCTRTCTTTTCTCCAGTGTACATTTTGGAGCCTTTGTCTAATATAACTGTAGTTATGTGGGTTTGTCTCTGTGTCCTCTATTCTGTACCATTGATCTACCAGTCTGTTTTAGTGCCAGTACCATGCCGTTTTTGTTCCTGTTGCTCTGTAGTATAGTTTAAGTTCTAGTATAGCGATGCTTCCTGCTTCACTTTTCTTGTTAAGGATTGCTTTGTCTATTCTGGGTCTCTTATTTTTCCAGATAAATTTCATGACTTCTTTTTATATTTCTATAAGGAATGTCATTGGGATTTTGATTGGAATTGTATTAAATCTGTATAGTGCTTTTGGTAATATGGTCATTTTGACAATATTAATACTGCCTATCCAAGAGCTAGGTGATCTTTCCATCTTCTAAGGTCTTCTTTAATTTCTTTCTTTAGTGTTCTGTAGTTTTCATTGTAGAGGTCTTTCACCTCTTTTGTTGATTCCCAAGTGGGGTTTTTTTTTGTTTTGGTTTTTTTTGAGGCTATCATAAATGGAGTAGTTTTCCTCATTTCCCTTTCAGAGGATTTGTCACTGATACACAGAAATGCCTTTGATTTATGGGTGTTGATTTTAWATCCTGCTACTTTGCTGAATTCACATCAATAGACTTATAGATAAGAATCATATTATGATCATCTCAGTAGGTGCAGAAAAAGCATTCGACAAAGAACAGCACCTCTTCATTTTCAAAACCTTAGAAAAACTAGGAATAACAGGAACATCAACATCATAAAAGCTGTATATGCTAAACCCCAGGCCAGCATCATTCTAAGTGGAGAAAAATTGAAAACATTCCCTCTAAAAACTGCAACAAGACAAGGATTCCCTCTTTTACCACTTCTATTTAACATAGATTTTGAAACACTGGCCAGAGCAATTAGGCAAATGAAAGAAATTAAAGGGATACGGATAGGAAAAGAAGAACTCAAATTAGCACTATTTGCTGATGATATGATTCTATACCTAAAAGACCTAAAAAATTCCACCACAAAACTTCTAGGAGTTTACTTTTTCTACCAACAAGTTTCTTGTATTAATAGAAACTTTCTACTATCATCTCTCTAACCTCTCTTGGAATTTTCTTTTTTGGAGAAAGGGTTTTATATGTATGTGATGACCTTTTTGTAGAAAATCTTTTCCTTAGCATTAGTTTCCAGTATTTTTGTTCAGTATTTCAATTTTTTGAACTTTATTCTTAGGTCACTCATGTGAGTAAAAAAACTGTTGTTGAGCCTTTCCCTGAGAGCTAAACTTTAAACTAGTCCAGGAAACTTAATAACGTGGAATGGATTTTTCTCAAATCTGTAGTGTCTGATAGTCTAGGTTATTCCAGTAATGTTATTGGATCCAGTATAATAACAATAAAAGAAAATAATTTAACTTGGAAAGAGGGACTATAATTTTTAGTTCTTTCAGAGAGAGTTCATCAATTAAAAAAAAAATATATATATATATATATATTAGCTCCTTTTACATTGTAGTTAACCAGTTGCCTAAGCTAGCAGGTCTTTGCTAAAGTCACTAGAAGTTGTTATTATCACTATAAGCCTAAAATCATTCTGATATAAAGATATAAATTAGAAAATAATCTAAGATCTTAATAAATATTATTACCCTCAGTGGAAATGTATGCTATAATGTTTTCTAAGTTTAAAACTCATTGATAACCAGGTATGATGGCACATGCCTATAATTCCAGCAATTTGGGAGGCTGAAGCAGGAGGATCACAAGTTCTAAGCCAGCCTCAGCAATTTAGCAAGGCCCTAAGTAACTAGGCAAGACCTGTCTCAAAATAAAAATGGACTGGGAATGTAGCTTAGTGATTAAGTGCTCCAAGGTTCAGTCCC